CTATGCGACGATAACGGTCGGGGAATAGCAGACGCAGTCGTAAATTAATGATGCGGTTCTATGACGTCGTACCACGTGAGAGAACGAAATACGAACAGAATCATATGTCTAGATACAATGTAATATGTATGTTTTTCCTTCATTTTCGCCCGAAATAAAAACAATTTTACTAAGTTTAGAACGGCTGATGAACAAACATAATAGACCTTCATTGTCTGTTATATTTAACAATATATGTATGTTTAAATAATAATCTTCTGCCCCAATACACTATATATATATATATATATATATATATATATATATATATATATATATATATATATATATAGATACACCTAGTGAGCCAGACAAACCTACCTAGGTTTCACCTAAACGGATCATCAGGGAAAGTTTGGCCAAACTTTCCCTGACGATCCGTGTATCTAGGTCTGCTCTACGGTTGTATTGAGCTCTGCATCTGTGCGATTTTTTTGTCGGCAGAAGTTCATGTTTGTAGCTCTTTCTTTTTTTAAAACCTTTTTTTCCCTCGAGATTGATTTGATTATTAGCAAATCAAAAATTCGAGGGTTTTTCGAAACGAGTCTAGTTATCTATCTATATCTATATATATATATATATATATATATATATATATATATACATATATATATATATACACGTGTGTGTGTGTAGCCTAGAGGTAGTTACTGTGATGTTTTATTTTATTTTATTAATCTGGTGCACCTCAATGTTAGCCAATCTACTCACAGATGGAAGAGAACATTTAGTCTACAGGAATATGGTCTTAGGAAGATGCTAAAAAAACCATGGACTGACATATGTGAGCAATGGCGGATAAAATGGAAACAAAAAGGTTACTTATGTTCAAATGAGAAAGAAAAAGTTCTAATCTCTAGGACATGTAACGTGGAAAGAGGTATTGAAGAATTAGACACTCACAGGGCATATTGAAATTAAAAAAAAAAAAAAAAATCAATAGAGGAGAACAGTGAATGACCTACGTGAAAAGAACTGAGGTTGCAATAACGGGGATTAGGAGAGATCCCCAAAAAGATTCGGCTTACACAGAGCAACAAAGGAGAGGAAATTGTGGAGTGCCATAGTAGCCCACGAAGAGACACGCTCTATAAAAGTAGAATGCTTTAGCAGTTTTATATTTACAGTTTTTCGCTGCTAAGTTTTCTCAAGATAGGCTTGCAAAGAAACACCTTTCGATACAGAAATTTGACGCGTTTTTCACAATCAGCAATTTTCCAATTCAGTTTCTTTCCATTTCGATTCAAATATTTTTCGATGAAGACATTCACGTTATTGTTAAATTCAATGAACTTGCAGGTCTATCAGTAATAAAAGGACATACGTTCATTTTCAGCATTTCATTTTGGCGGGGGGCGTTCAGATAAGAAAAAAATTCGTAAAAGTAAAAAGTGGAGTGATTCTCAGCGGAATTCCTGATTGCAATAGTTGGCTTTCGACCGGTGACAATTAAGTGAAAGCAGTAAAATGCAATATAAGTAAAAGTGAAAAAAAAAAAAAAAAAAAGAGGCATGAGATTTTGGTTCAGAGGGCGAGGTCAAATCCGCCCAAACGTTTTGCATTTAAGCAGTTACAAATTTCACCGAATAATTTTATAATAGCTGTTATTCAGAGGCATACAAAAAGACGAGGCTCTCACACACACACACACATATATATATATATATATATATATATATATATATATATATATATATATATATATATACACACACCCAGACCCATACATATATACGTGTGCATTTATGTGTGTATATATATATATATATGTGTGTGTGTGTATATACATGAAAATAAGCTTCCAGGAATTCATTTATACAAGTACGCACACAAATACGCACATACGCATGTACACACGTGCACATAGATATATACAGATATATATATATATACATATATATAGTGTGTTTGTGTGTTGCGTGTGTGTATATATATATACACACAATATATATATATAAATATATATATATATATGTCATGCATCATGCACATCGATATGTATATATGTACATATATATAGATATATACATATCTATCCGCATGAATAATGTACAGATATAGAGTATTCTTGAATAGCTTCAGTTCGCATTGCACTAAAGCGCTTATCAAAGGCATGAATCAATTCTCCCTGGTCTTTGATTCCTTTTCTGATATCTTTAAATATAAATAATCTATATTCCTGTATGATTTTATGCGAAAAAAATCTTTCGGTCTACTGCCGTAACAACATAACTTACACACATATGTTTAGATAATTAGCCAATTTTGCAGGTCACAAATGCCATAATAATATCCGATAACTACACACAAACACACACATGCGCTTCCCCAAAAATATTTGTCGCTCTCACTCTCCTCTCTCTCCTTTGTCTTCATATATATATATATATATATATATATATATATATATATATATATATATATATAATGTTTAATTACACGATATATTGTGCATATAGGATATATGTATATTGTCTTTTAATTAGCCTTCTTTCTCTCACACTCCTCTCTCCCCTCTCTGTATATATATATATATATATATATATATATATATATATATATATATATATGTATTCAAGGTAATTAACTTTATATATGTATATAGTTTGTTTTATGATATATATATACACACACATACAAATATATATATATATACACAAGTATATATTTTGATTTATTACACGGTATATTTATATATATATATATATATATATATATATATATATACATATATATATATAGTTAGTGTGTGTGTGTATAAAATTATGCTATATATATATCGTCTTTAATTACACTATATATATATATATATATATATATATATAATTAGTTGAACATATTTTATAGAAATCTATAGATATTTTATCCCTATTAATGAATGATTAGTCGTTTTTTAATGATTAGTCGCGAGTTAGAAACATAATCAACAGAAATAGTCTCTCTCTCTCTCTCTCTCTCTCTCTCTCTATATATATATATATATATATATATATATATATATATAGTTAGTGTGTGTGTATAAAATTATGCTATATATATATATGGTCTTTAATTACATATATATATATATATATATATATATATATATATATATATATAATTAGTTGAACATATTTTATAGAAATCTATAGATATTTTATCCCTATTAATGAATGATTAGTCGCGTTTTTAATGATTAGTCGCGAGTTAGAAACATTATAATCAACAGAAATAGTCTCTCTCTCTCTCTCTCTATATATATATATATATATATATATATATATATATCGTAATGTCGAAAATGATTGAACAAAATAAGTGTTTATTGTGTTGCGTGATGTGTTGTCCCTACTAATTATATATATATATATATATATATATATATATATATATATATATATATATATATATATATATATATTTTGTGTGTCTGCTGGTGGTGTATGTTTGTGTGTGGCTGGAAATTTATCGATTTTGAGCGCGCAAACGATGAACTGTATTTTTTCCCACTCAGCTGTGATACTTTAGAAAGTTACGTTGCTCAACGTTTTCGATCTAACCTGTTTATGTTTTAGCGATTGATAAAAAAATATATATACTCGATTTGAAAATTGAGCAGTGGAACCTGATATTTTTCGCTCACTTCTGGTCATCGACAAAGTCAAAATCAATTGTATGCAACAATTCACACACTACCAAATAAAAAAAAAAGAGTGAAACAGAAATATATTATACTTAAAAAAATATATACTTTTTTTTTTCAAACGTGAAACCTATGTATAAATTCTACTTAAAACAAACAAAAAGTTAAGCCTCAATAAACAATATATTTCGCAGCAACAAACCTGTTTATATATATATATATATATATATATATATATATATATATATATATATATATATATATATATATATATATATATATATATATATAAATAAAAAAAACTAAACACTAATTTCCATGGTCATAATTTATTCCATTGGAATCGTAAATACGATCCAAATTTACGATTCCAATGGAATAAATTATGACCATGGAATATTAGTGTTTAAGCCTTTTTATTATATCCTTACTCTGTCCTAGACATTGAGTTCTACCTGGATTCTTCCTCTTGGAAATTTTTCTTGTGAGAATATACATGTATGGGTATTTTTATATATATTTTGCATATGTATGTATATTTTCCACTAATATTATCTATCTATCTATATATATATATATATATATATTAGGTTGGTGCAAAAATAATGACGTAATAATGTCGTTTTTTGACCTATTTTTAACGTCAAAAACGACATACTTACGTCATTATTTTTTTGCACCAACCTAATATATATATATATATATATATATATATATATATATATATATATATATATATATATATATATATATATATATATATATATATAATTTTACTTAATAAAACATAATTTAACTTAAAATGTACTCTTCAATTTCTTTCACCCAAAAAACGCGCTTATATATAAATTTTACTAAATAAAGATACAAAAGTATAAACCTCAGCCAGCGATTTTTTTTCACCCAACAAGCATGTCTATATATAAATTTTACTTATTAAACGCACAAAAAAACTTAGTCCTCAATCGTCGACCCGTTTCAACCCAATAAACGTGTCTATATTTACCTGCGTATGAGTAGGATACCTCTTCTTTCAACATCCTGTTAATATCCTTATTAGCAACAAACTTGTAAAGTCGCTGTTGGTAGGTGTGAGACTTATCCAAAAAGTTGTAATGAAGAGCCTCAATAGTCAGGTGACACATGGAAGTGACGATATTCGAATGGCCGGCCTTGTCGTAAATCACCATGAAGCGACCCCACTCATAAAGTTGGAAAAGCCGAAGGAAAAACATAAACAAACTATCAAAGTTAACCGGGCCGACTCGTGTTAGGGTCGGGTATGACGTCAGCCGACTTACTGAAAAATCCCGCGCCATAGCGCCGGCAGATATCACAGGTATATTCCAAAATCTCACCTGTCGGACCAACGGCCCGGCGGCGAAATCACAAACGGGTCCGAAGAAAACATCGATACGAGATTGCATGTAAAGGTCGATAGCCGCTTTGATACCATGTGCGATTGAGCATCGAGTGTCGCCAGATTTAACGGAGAATGTCAGGTTTGAAATTTGGGGTAGTTTGCTAATGGCCAGATTAACAGCAGGTAGCACTCTTTTGAGACAGAAAAGCCGCTTCTCGTCTTCGGGTAATATCACAACGATATTTACACGTTTCGTTTCGATTTTTGAGCAGATATTAATAAAAACTATGACGAGGAAAAAATACCGAACAGATGCCATAGTTAACTTTTATCAATAACTTCGAAAATGATTCAATATTTTTTTGAATTCCTTATTTGTTTTAATTGTTTTAAAATAAACTACTTTCTGGAACTTTAATCAATGTATTTAAAATTATCAATTGCCAATTTTCTTCTTTTTTATTTTTCTACTAAACTCCTTAAACTCATCACCGATGTAATGGAAATATTCTTATTTTATAATCTATGTTTAATTTTAAGTGTTTATTCGTTTACTCTTAATTCTTATTCAGTTCATTTAATTATTTAATAAGATTCAGTTTACATCTTTTATTTATGTATGTTTTCTGTTTTTATATTTATATATATATACAATTACGAAGACTATAATCCCTTAAATGCCCTTTTAAGTGGATTGTTCTATGAAAATAAAAGCAGTAAAGTTACATAAGCGTGTTTCCTTGCTAACCCTTCCACGCATATACGCGCAAAAAAAAAATCGTATTTCCAAATTACGGAGAAATAAATGATAAAAAAAATACTACAAGTTTGGAAATACGTAACGAGATGTTTTAATTGAAAGCTGTTATATTAATGTAAAAAAAAATCAGATTTATTGATGGATATAGATTCATGGCTAGAAGGAATTGTCTAAGTAAAGCACGCCCAATCTATCTGTATATGCGAAGAAGTAAGAACCTTCGGTTTGCACCTTCTGTAAGGAAATAAATTCCGTTGGAAAGCGTGACAGAACTGCTAATAAAACAACGAAAGGTACTGACGTTTTTTTAATTATACAATTACAGTGAAAAGCTGTAAATAGTCGCTACACACGGCAACGGATTAGTGAGACTTATTTCTGAGACTTTAACGAGTGAAATATGCAAATGTTTGTCGTGCTATAAATGCTGACAATATTACTGTTTTAGCTTAAGTTTATTTTATACAGTAATTTAAAGTCTATATTATATCTTATAACATGCCGGGTAGCAACCATTTTTATTATCAAATCTTTATTAAACATCAAAATATGTTTTAGGATAAAAATTACTTTATTTTTTATAATCGAGTTGTTGAAAGTTGTTAGGAATATTTCTTTTTAAAATATTTGCTTTTCAAAAATTAATAAATAACCGATGCTTATATAAAAAAAAAGCAATCCTATGAGTAATTATAGCATTATTCATACATATATTTTGATTTTAGTTTCGATCCAAAACATATTTTTTATCTAAATTGCCGTTAAGAAACGAACCAAACATCCTGTACATAAAAACAAATTAGCTGAAATTATTTTAAAGATTCTTTTATAAATATTAAGTTTAAGAGCTAAATGATAGATATCAGTTTAATCGCGAAAAAATGTGTTCCACGTAATTATCCCTCTAAAATATATCTAATTTAAATTGCGTAAATTAAAATATATATATATATATTTTTATTTTTAAAATTTTTTTCTCTTTTTCTATTCGTATTTTTTTCCCAAGTATCTTTTCTTAAAAATATTTCGTTGTTTTCAGCCGACGTGTTTGCTCCTGTTTGTGATTTTTTTTTCACGCAAATTCAATTCAGTCTTGTGTTCTATACTTACACCTTTAACCATATACACATGTTAGTTAGTATATTTTTATATATAACATGTGCAACATGTTTTATAAATGCATTTTTTCTTGTCTATGCACCAGTTGATGCTCATCTACCATCAATACAGCTACTGATAAAAATTATGGTAAGTGAAAGAATTATGGAGGTGGTGGTCGTGGTCGAATTGGTGGTAATAGTGACTTAGCGTGTAAACATCTATGCTCCACGCGACTCATGTTTCACATCGGAGTAGAACATCCTTTCGGCCATACGCGAAGGTGGAGACTGACGTTATATCTGCCTTGGTGCGGTTCCTTGCCTACTGCCGACGTTCTCGCCGCCGCGGCTGCTATGACTGCTGCTGCTGCTGCTGTTTCTATTGATGTTGCTCTAACGACTAAGAACGTCTCAACAGATACTACCGTTGTCCGCTCTCCACCGACAACGGAGAGCGCTTTTGCTTTCGCCGCCCCAGTTTCTCTAAACATTTCTTTGGTGATAGATGCAGATCGAAGCAGTCACATTAACGTTTTGCGAACAAGTTAACGGGGGAATATTCGCTCGAAGCTCACCTTTAGATCATTAAACATTGTTTTCTTTCAACTTCAAGTTTAAATCATGTTCTTTTACGAGTTTTTAAATCATGTTCTTTTACGAGTTTAAATCATGTTCGTTTACGAGTATAAACTTGTAAGAGAAAATGATTTTCGTTTTCCTTATTTTTCACCTGTTTCCTCGAATTCCTCATTTTCTAAAAGTTCTTATTTCTCGACTTTGAATTATTGTTGTTTTACTTTTTTTTTTCTTCTGCATTTAAGAAATTCTTCACGTTAATCTTTTCTAAATTTATTATCTTGTTCTTTTCTCTTTTAATTCATAGAGTATTGCTTGGTCGTTATTCATTTTTTTTCTTTGCAGTAAAATTTATTGTTATTGTTGCTGTTGTTGCTGTTGTTTCCTTGGATTTCCTTCTGAGTCCCAACTAGAGACCTAAGATCAGTCTTATTATTATTATTATTACTATTATCGTTGTTATTGTTATTATTGTTATTATTATTGTTTCCTTTGATTTCTATTGTATACACATTTCCTTTCTTGTCCGAACCATAGAAAATTTCCACTGATCAATTTGCAAATAAAAAAAATATAAAATATAAAATCACACACATTTATTTTCTTATTATTATCATTATTATTATTATTATTATTATTAGTAGTAGTAGTAGTATTAGTAATAATAAAAATAAAAATACTTAAGAGAAGAACGCGATTAAGAAATGAAAAAGAAAAGAAAAAATTCCGTGTTTCAAAATGTCAAACACTTTTTTTTTCATTTCTTTTTCTTTTTTCGCGTTCTTCTCTTAATTGTTGAACAATATTGGAAGTGTTACGTCAATCTGTTTATTATTATCATTATTATTATTTTCATTATTTTTGTTGTTTTCGCTATTAATATTATTACTAATTGTCATACAGTGAAATTTTTGTAATACATTAATTAGTACATTAATTTTTTCGTCTCGTCGCACCAAGGACTTTAGACGGCCAACACTTTCCTATAAATACTACTACAGTGTAACCCGGATATAAGAGAGTTGTAGGGACCGGAGAAGAAGTCTCTTATATTCGGGTTTTTCTTATATCCGGGTTTAGTCTATTTTGTTTACATTATCACATGCTCTAATTTGGGACCAGAGAAAATCTCTCTTATATCCGAGTTTCTCTTATATCCGGGTTACACTGTACTACTACTACTACTAATAATAAATTCTAGGTTTTGTTTAATTACACCCTCCCTGTCGTCAGTATAAACTGCCATAATCCTGTCCTTCTTCACACTCTTGCTTTTTTTTTTTCTGGTGCCTCTCTTTCGTTCATTTTCGCCTTCTTTTTATCTTCATTTTTTTTCTTCTTCACTTTCTCGATCGTTCCTTAA